GATGACGAATCTCTAAAACTTGTTTACACATATAATCCGTAACTCATGTGTTACCGATGTTTGATCGGTCAGGTAGTATTATTAGAAAGTGAAGTATTTGAACGCATCGACCGCTTCACTTATATTGGAATTCTCAGTCTTGATGGTCTGGTATTTGACGAAATCTCGGCATGGATTTAGAAGTCTCAGTTGGCTTAGACGTCTGTCATCCAACCAAAGGGCGGATATAATGCTCAGCAGTTCACTCCGTTCTACTTTATGGATGTGAAACGTGATCATTAAGAGTAGAGAGTATGCGTGGGTTACTGGTATACGATCACAGGTGTCCACGAAGGATTACTGCTATATTTTGTATCCACGGATGAAGCGATGCCAGGGTTAGGAAAAAGGCACTAGGTAAGGATGACAGATCGACTGAAGAAGTAGCACATCCTCACCAGCTAAGGTGGTTAATAAGTTTTACGTATATCCCAGCACCGCCTACCTCGACGGGTAATGTTTTCTGGTGCAGGCGCAGGCTGGAAGAAAGCTAGGTACGGTCAAACCAAAACATGGTACTAGTTCATGAAATCACTGACAATTGTACTTGGTCATGTGAATAAGTATAGACTACCTGATTAGGGTCCAAGTGATTATCGTAACCAGTGGTTAGAGACTTGGAATGACATGACTCAAAATCGTTTGGAACGACTTAGGTGCATCCATTCTTTGTGATTAACACATGAACATATCTTTGTGCTAATGAAGTATGACAACTTGAACCAAAGCACACATGAGCCAGGTTCTACTGTTTTTGACTGACTGACTTGTTCCATTTATTAGTATTCTAAAAGAAAACTTGTTGATTTCGAACTCTTCTATCTATTCAGTGATCCAGGAAAACTGATTTTACTTTCGATTTCATTTTCAATACTATTTATTAATGTCTGTATGCAGCAAAAGTCTCACAGATTACAAATCTGTAATATTTTATTAACAGATCTCCACATCGTTACGTCGTCCCTAAGCAACACAAATTATGTTATTTCCAATGCACAAATCTCTGATTGATGAAAATGTTTCATTGTTTTAAGAGTCTGTCATATAATAACTTTATCGATTTCTAGTAACATGACTTGTTATGCACGATTAGAATTTCTAGACAGAGGGAGAATATGTACACAATACATGGATTTACAGATTATGAAACTAAATGACTAAGTTATTTTTCACTAGAATTACTACTACCCCTACCACGTTATTTGCTTGATTTAATTTAAGGCAACGAACATGTAATATGTGCGCTATTAATATTAATTTTTATTATTGTTAAACATAAACTTCTAATCTATAAAGTCACAATGGTACATTGAATCATTAACAGTATTATTCATTGCCACCCGATCGTTGCTGCTACCTTGACGTGGCGGTCAAGCTTGTCTGTCATGATGAACCAATCAAGCTATATTGGTTGGAACAATCGTTACTCAAGGTCCCACCATGCTAGATAGGTCGGTTGAAGAGCTGTAAGACTAAAGGCAGCAAAACCAAGGTCCGAGGGCGAAGTTGTATTACTGACTGTGCAGAGGTGTGCTGGCAGTATGGTGTTTCCTTCAGACGACCAGCATAACAGCGATGCTGCACTCCCACAAAGGAAGGGTGGGATTAGAAAAGGTCGACCCTGAAAATCCACACCTCACTTTGTCTCACATATATCCGTCTCCGGAGGCAAGTTCTCAACATGTATGGAGCTAACACAAAAATTACCCACAAAATGGTCGCATGTGACCGACCTCTAGCACTTATCTCTTGGGCACTGCGGTCACACTCTCAGGTCACTAAGACCAACTCTAACTCAATTTCATTTTCAGGTAAAAGAACCCTTCCACGATGTGGGCAACCGGAAAGTGATAACTGCCCTCATACCTCTGACAGCACTCAAGATCACTATTTATTGCCATAAATTGTTTAGCACTTTATGTTTTTAAACTAGTATTCTGACTCCTTAACGAATTTGGTTTTATTTCACAAGTATGCATTTGTTATTTCAATAATAGTCGGCAATTTTTAAAAATATTTTATTACTGATAGATATGGACTTATCAACACATGAAAAACCTGTGACGTTTGATTTTCGTCATAGTCACATTGTAATACCACGTCGTCCCAATGAAGGTTACAAACCTGTATTTGATCGTCCTGGAGTAAGTGTTTTTTAGATTGCTTTATGTCATCATAAGTAAGATGCGCTAACACTACTTCGCACAACTAATTCTTTGCTTACTAGTAAAAATCAAACTTCTATGGATCCGTAAACACAAACTTACTATCTGGCTATCTAGAGAGTAGTTTTTGACCTTGTCTGTCGTAAAATCTCACGTTAGTGTTTGATGTTAAAAATGCAAATCTGCGAATACATTAGGTCACTGAAGGCGCCCCATGCGAAAACCGAGGTATTATCAGTGGTTCACAGGCTTTCGTCGAAGGATACATCCAGAAGGTGTTCTCTCTCAGTTCGTGTCTGAATCCGTTATTAATATGGTTCGAGAGACGATAGTTACGGTTTCCTGGATGTTGAATCCTGTCCAGAAATCTTTATTGTCTTAGAGTATTCAGACTCCATAAGTAAAGACTGGTTTCTAAACATCTTGCATATGGGGATTAAAATATGTAAACTGTTTACAATCATATGCGAAGCTCTTTCAGAACTGGTTTGGGTCATTGATTAGTTGAACAACAACGCGGAAACTAGTTTTCAGCGTCGACCACTCTTGCTTACCTTTTTTGGTCGAATTTTGGCTGTCAAAACTTTTCTAAGAAAGAACCAATTTTAATTTATACTAATACACTAACTGTAGTGCAGATACACCATACAGTATCTAACTGTTCTGGTTTATTTATTGCTCATTATAGCTATTATAATACACATATATGGTAAAGGTACTAAATCTAAAATATCTTCAAACTATAATTTGTGTATCACAAAACTTTTTTGAGCTAGTATCCATCCATTTTCATTTCTGGATGTTAGGTGAATTGGTTATATCTGCAAGTTTTCCTATTCTATTTGAAAGCGAATATTTATCGTCTCCCAATACGTGATAAGCAGGTCAAGTTAGTGTAGTACACAATTTCTTTGTCATTTTTCTCTAATTGTAATGGAAAAAACTTCAGTTATTTTGACCCGCCACGTCATTTTTTCTTTCACAGCTCAAGTTTTACAATACTGAAGCGGATGAAGTTCAGATTTACAAACGTTTAGTAGACACGATTTCCTCCTCAAATTCACGGTATGTTGTAACTTATTCTACTCATCATAATCCTGATATATCATGTTATGCAGCATTCAATAATAAAGTTTTAATTGTGCAAATAACAGTAGACGTGTCGATTGGTTGTATTGTATCTATAAGGTGCGTGCCTGGTCCTACGTTGCAGCTGACTGACTGACTGATAAGGTAAAATTAATGTGTTTTGCCATCTTGAAATGCTGCAGAACTTTTGTATCAGTCAGTCAGTAACAACGTAGAACTTCGTACATCAGTTCGAGTTGCCATACCACATTAGCACACAAATACAATTGTCGATTCAAATCCCGTAGTGGTAGAGGTAGTTAAAGTATAAGCAGTAATCGGAAAGATTAGGGTTTGAAGATGTTATTCAAGGAGTATAATCCAGTGAAATAAATTTGGAAAGAGAAAAAAGGGACATTAAGAATTCAGATTAGAATTTAGGAGAACTATTGTATGAAATATATCGAATCAGCTTTACTAATAAACATGGTTATAGTGCAGCTTCGTGTATCGTAATTTGTTCACGGGGGCTGTATTTTGTGTTTGGTTGTGAATGACTGATAAGCTTTCGTATATTTTCGCTTCTGCTTATACATTAGAGCTGTAAAAGTTAAGCTATACATGTAAACAATTCTAGTTATAATTGATCGAGTTTGATTATACAGAGACTTTTCGATTTATATGCTTAAAAAACCGTCTCTGGCAGGTCCTCTTATATAAAAAAGACTTATTGAGTTCCAGTTTGTCCTAAGTTAGCAGTTTGTTAATACAATTCGTTTAATTAATAGTCATACACTTTTTATCAGTTTGTTGTTAGGCAGTTAAAATGTAAACTATTTTCATTCTGTTCTGTTTGGTGATATTAGAAGATCAAATAATATGGACAACAAAAAAGAAAGTGAGTATCACGACATAAGTCATTTTACAGGTCCTGGTCGATTTTATGGCAGTCGAGTAGATGAACGTTTAATGGATTCAAAGCGTAGTGAGTTATTTAATTATTTTGATGTTTTGAAACCTGAAGTACATGATCTGTCAATCCTAACCTAAATGAGTTTCTATACATCAGTACCAACTTAAAAACTACTGAAGCCTACGAGCATTTTTAAATTGGCATTCGAAAAATCATTCGTCTGTTGAAGATAAATTAATTAATCCTCCCCCAAAAGCCCTGGTATGGCCGAGCGTGGGGAGAGTTCGTTCTCCCTCTCGAAATGCTCTCACATGGCCGCGCGTATATAGCCTCTGCCAGAGAAGTCCTACTCACTGCTTTCTTGTAGTGGGGGTGTTGTTTACAAAAATGAGAGGACGAAAATCGAATGTCCGGCGCTTTAACCGGATCCCAAATCAATGGTGCACATGGGCTCCAGTATCCCGAAGGAACAAATGGCGTATGAACCAATCGTTGGTCACCGGCTACCATGGGACTGCATCTCCTTACGATGCTCCACTGCCTTGTGGATCAGATCTTCAGGTCAAAGGATCGGAGTGTGGCCCCCTAAGAAAACCACCTGCTTCGGTCTGGGCATCCGGGCAGTATCACAGCCCTCACACAAATCAATTGAGATTTGTGTGGCGCATATATATTTGGTGCCCTCTTGTACCAATATTTATGTGTTCAAATAAAATAAATAAATAAAATAAGATAGAACCCTATCATTTGAATCACGTAATCTGAACGGTATCAGTCAACTACTTGCGTTACTCTTTACATCATAGATTTGGCTTGACCTTAATCATATGCTCTTGTGATTATATTTGTACTATATAATATTGCTGCTTTAATGCTATATTAAGGGTAATGTCTTTATCGGAAACAAAGTGTTTTGTTGTGAAGTTACATTCAGTTATTTCCAGTTTTATATTCATTTGTCATTGACGTAATCTCTGCTTCGGTCTGGGAACCCGGGCAGTATCATGGCCCACACACAAATTAAATTTTTTGTGGCCCATATATATTCGGTGCTCTTTTGTACCAATATTTATGCGTTCAAAAAAATCTCTTTGGAGCTGTGCCTGAATAATCTCTGACAATCATCGTTTGTCGCGTCAAATCTCGTCTTAAATGTTGGAATTGAATTTCTTTGTGTTGCAAATTATCCATAGGAAAGTTATATAAGCTGTTTTCTCAGTATGTGTGCAAACTCCAGAACAACTTTAATTTAGTCCATAGAAGCGATGGCTTTATATTTAAGCGATTCCAACGAACAGGTTGCAGGTTCCAAACTGATGCACCCTTTTTTTTTCTTCAGAAGCAAATTGATATTAGGCATCACGAAAGTAACATTATTTTGACTCATCTGCGATTCCTCTCGTGCTTATTTGATATGGAAACTAAGGTTAATGCACACATTTTCCAGACTCTACGTTGATTATGATTGATAAAAGTAGTGTGGCTCAAACTCAATTACATGTCTTTACTTGTTAGATGAGTTACACATTCCTTCAAATATAAATTTTCTGTTTATGAAAATGCGAATCACCCCGTAATTGTTGTGAACATTAGTAGCCGCCAAAATCTTGTATTTGCATGTATATGTATAAATATTAAAATATTATTTTTTCCAAAAGCTTATCCGTTGGATCCTTCAGAAACTCCGAAAGGACATTCTTATTATCTTGTGAGTTTTCACTGTCTATCATTTGTTTTGTTAATTAATTATTTTTCAATTTTCAGGCCATACGTTAAAATGTCTTCAGCTGTAATTTGTTGATCCTGTAGATAACGTAGTTTTTCCCTGAAGTGTAATTAGAAAAGAAACAGACTTAATTGGGTAGTAACAACTTATTGTGTAAGAAGGTAAATAAATTTTAAGTGAACTGTCTTATATGGCAAGCAAAAAAACATATAAAGCTACATAATTACACATTTAACACCCCTCAAACAGCATATACCAAAAGCGAACCATCTTCAGTCTTCTACTATCTGTCAGACAAGCGAATCGAATTGGCAATGTAATTATTGGAAACCAATTGAATGAAACAACAGTTTAATTTTCCCTTCCCTAAAGAGGTGTTATATTTTCGCTCTTACGGTTATAACCCAGCTATTCCTATTGCTTAGTATTCACGGACACAGATTCACTCGACAAGGCCCCAAATCAGAACACGGTTGAGCAGGAAGATTATATTCCAAATAACAAGGTTAGATGGAAACAAGAAAGGAAAACCGTTAGTATATTTATAGCTTTTTACATAAGAAGAATCTCGAGTCTTCTCCATGTATCGACTAGCGCTGATTGGATAAGAATCAGCCAATCAGCGTGCGCCAAAGCAATCGTGCATTGAGCATGCTTAAATCCAATCTATGTCCCGCTAACAGAAGGTATGATGAATTTTTCTGCTGAATTTATTGTTTGACCTTTGGTTGTCTCTAAATAATCTTTATCAGTATGGGTTTTGGAAGATGTCGCGCACCACCCTAGAAATGGTTGAAGTTAGACTTGTACACCATAGATTGCCGGCTCAGCGGTCTAAACGTTAGATGTTCCCGCTTGAGACCACAGGTCCTGTGTTCTATTTCCGGTTGTGGGTGCCCATTACTGAGTCCCGTACAAGGAGAACAGTTGTCCAGTGTTTCCAGGCTTTCAATGGTTCTCTGACTTGATATCAGTGAAATAACCTTTACGTTTAAAAACTGTAACCAAGTACTAGTATTTGTTTATCTGTCCTTTGATTCGCTTTACTTATTGAATAAATTGCGGTTTGATTATGTAGTTCAAACGTTCTTATTCGTAATTATCAGCGGAGAAACAAACTCAAACTGATTCTAGAGTATTTCTTGTTTAGTCAACCGACTTAACCAATAATTCTATTTAATAAGTATCGTTCATATCAAATTTGTGTGAGTAAAAAGAACCGATTTGTTGTATTCATACAGGTCATAACAGTCTTCATTTTTGCTTATGAATAACAAGTAGTCAGCTATCCTAGTTGTATTACCTCATATTTTTTAATTCAAAATTCTTTTCAGGATAGATATACTAAGACGGATTTTTCTGGAGCTTTTGAAAGCACATGTTAAATGTCATTAAGTCATGAATGCCTCAGCATTTTTGGATTCAACGATATATCTAAATAGAAACATGTACTCTGATATTTTTCACTTTCTACAATTAGGTTCTGGAAGGAATCTAAAGTGTTCACAGTGAAATGAGACAAAGTCATCTCGAAATAGCCTTATCTGTAGCGTAGCTATGAGCTGTAGTGCATGTTTTACCTACCTATCATTTTTTTGTAATAGAATCCCTTTTAGATTTGTTTCTAATAAAGATAGTAGTCTGGTAAGAGTAATGTGATATGTCCATTAAATTAAACTTAGAATTGACAATTAACTTGACCGGTTTTTTTTTAAATGAAGCATGATGATCGAACAGACGATGGATATGGTCCGAGGCGCAGATGGAATAATAAATCCGAACGTTTATACTCTTATAGTAAGTTTCAACTATACGCAGTTGCCTAATAAGTGCTTTTTTACATGTATATATTTTTAATGAGCATTCAATAAGACAGTAGAATTAGTATCGTATTTGACTTAAATTACATTAGAAGGATAAACGATTAAATTAAAGTAATGCATGCCTACCACTGAACTATTAGTCTCAGTAATATCCGGATGATACGAATTAGAAGAATCAGAGCTAGCGGAAATCATTGAAACTGTTTGAAAAATTAATCATAGGATTTCTAGCTTACACTTTTCCTTGGTGCATCTAAACAATAGTACGGAAGTACAACCCATTTTACTGATGAAGTCTACTACATATAGTGTTGTGATTCCAGTTTTCTGTTATGGGGTTTCGTAATAATTATCTTACTCCTGACTTGAACCAATAATTTCTTTTAAATCGACTACTTTTCACCAAGTAATGCTCGGTAAATTAAAATTTCTAAACTTTAACTATGCCTGCTTATATGATAGATCGATTCGTACGCCAGTGCTGTAGTTTAGTGTTGTTTGGAATACTTTCCTTTGCAATCTGTTAATTAATGTGCTTGGAAATATGTAAATTTAGTGTACTAAAGAAAAATGAATATTAGTTACGATTTCCATTGTTTCTACATTTATGACATCTTATAAACATTTTATTTCAGGTTACCAACGTGATCGTCGTTCTCGCCGCACTTCTCCTTCACCGCGATCATCTCGTTCTGAAATTAAACCGAAAAAGTGGCCCCACGACAAATTTGAAGAGATGGAAGGGGACAATAGTTCACAAAAACCGATTCCAATGCCTGTTCCTGCTCCCAAACCTATATTATGGTCTACTATTGGGAAGGAAATCTTGAATGGAAATAAAACTGTTGTAAGTGATGACCAAAATTACAGCCCAAATAGTGCAGCCAATCAATCACCGCTAACAGACAATGAAAATATCACGAATACACTAGAGACAAAAGTACAATCATTTGTGGCCAATTCAGCTGTTCGTAGTAATGAAAAAGTTTCTACCAAAGAAGAGCATTTCAACAGTGAAGTTTTCCATCTGGATGTTGATCATGTATTTGACGAAGCTATTGAACGATGATCTTTGTCTGATATGTACAGTCAGCATTACAAATTACGCATTTTGTTTTGACAATAATCACTTCCTGTCTGTTATATTGCTTGTATATTCAATTTGTTTATATAAGCAACTTACGTTTGCATTCTGAATTTCGTTATTTTTTATACATATATATAGTTTTCAGAAAAGATATTTCATTTAACTGGGTTTCTCAATAAAAGGAGTAATTTCGTTCAACTTGGAAATTGTCAAAATAGTTAAATTTTTATTACACATCTCGAACATGGTATAAAACTGCACATTTAAGTCTTATAAATCAATAAGCACACATAGAATATTTATTTATTTATGGCTTTATTCAATATGTGGCCGTAATGTCCCAGTCAGGATAATATGGTCATAGGTAAGAAACTGTGGACAAGAAATCATATCTAGCACATAATATTTTCGCGAAATATCTGTACGCAATTAGATTGCTTTTACCAAATGTTGAGCACAAAAGGACAATATACAATAAAGAATTATTTATTACACTATAATCTACAGAGTTGTTTTAAATTATTTACATCATTCGTTTCCAAATCCTAAAGTTCTTGTCAGAAATTTTCAGCTTGAGGAATTATGAACATTTAAAAATTCACATCGAAGGATATATGCTACAAATAATGAAAAAAACCAAGTCATTTCAGTAAAAGATTATTAAAAATGTAGTCAGGGTTTTGCTAACAAATACATCACATTAATTTCTCTAGCTTTGTACTATATTCTTTATCGAAACTGTTCAATATTGATCGTAGTCACTTCACACATGAATTTATCACATACATTGATACTATAATACGATATTTCAGATCGAACATTTACAATTTTTCGTGGTGTGATATCGTTATAGCGAAGTCAAAAAAGATGGAGCTGGGTATGTAGGTCGTTCGATGCGAATTCAAGAACATTACCCGACGTGGCTAAAGAGGAGGAAACAGCTCAATAAAAACAATAATCGAACACCTTGTGAACACAGGTCACTCAATCAAGATGGACTCCGTTCAAATCGCCTACAAGTAGAAGTCTTCCAAAGACAATTAGATTGCATCTTCTTTGAATTGCCGAAGCATTAGTTGAAAACCAGGATTGTGTGCAAAAGGGATTGGTGCAAACTCTTCTTCTACCATGGTCTTAGTTTCTTATAATTTTTTTACACTCTTCCTTTACAGCTATCTGCTTCACCTTCCATCTTCCCCTTAAGTATTGTACCACTAACTGGTTTATTTCTCTTTCTACGGTCATTCTGATTGCATTTAATCTCAATTCCCACATTTTATCTTAACATGCTGAGCTATCCTTTTGCAATGATAATTTCCCTATCTATCTTTTAATGAATACTTAAGCCATTAAAAATCAAACGATTATTAAACCTTGTTTTATAAAAAAATTTTTTAATACCTTCGGTTATTTCACCTCAATATCACCATGTCTAACATAAGTTTATTATCATCCTGTAAAATAAGTATATACATTTGCGATTCTACAACTTTGAAAATTAATTCGCCGAAAAGAGAACTCTTCGCTGAACTAATTTTTCTTATTTAATATCTTAATTGGTGTACTCCGTTTATATACAATTTTATTGATGGGTATTTTATCCCTTGAGAAAACTGTTCAAGTCAAATAATCTACCTAATGCGTGAATCCAGGTTAGTACAAACCAATCAAAACTGGAACAAATGACTTCAAATTTTACCCAATGAAAGTACTGTGATATTTCTTACACTGAGCTGAAATCCCAAAACAGTCAATTAGTTCAGTAAATGAACAAAAAATTTACAGTTTGAAAAAGAAAAAAATAATTATTTTTCTCTTACCTATAGGAATTCTCGTAAAGTGGTAAATATAATTCGGGTGTATCTCTCCCAGTATACTGACTATTAATATTATGATTAGAATGTTTTCCAGTATATGGGACTTTTATAAAGTGTTGTGAAAAAGCTTGTATGCACAAACTTCGCTGTTCGCGGTACGTATTTAATTCACTCAGATTTAAGATTCCATCCGTTGACAGTAATTTTTGTTCTATATAACTTGTGCTAAATAATTTAATTGGTGGTAAACTAGTTACATGACTTATAAGACAATTAAAAAGGATATCTTCACAGTTATTAAATACATTGACAATCTCATGAAGTTTACGATCCAACAATGTTTGGTACAGATGATGATAATAACTATAAAAATGTAGACAAAAGAAAATAAGATTTACAAGATTTGTTACATTAGATACCTATAAACAATGAGATAGTTTGACCAATATGTGTACAAAACACAACAGCTATCAGATTCATTGTATTTTCCACGTCTATTTGACAGACGCAATAATCGTTTTGATCGTGTGTAGGAGATCGACCAATTGATTACATGGACACAAAATAATAATCGGATATGACCAATGTTTGCTTGTAATTAAGACGACAAGTGATGAGGCTAAGCGCGAAATTGCACGCTCTATATAACATTTCTACATTTAGAGTTGTATTGATGACACCATCCTGAGAAATACTTTCTTCATTTGCCCACAGAACAACGCAACTTGAACATATGCATTGTAAGCCGTAAATACTAAGGTGTCCTACTGTATTTGTTTTTTATATAAGAAATTTTAAAAAAAGTGTAACACGAACTAACCGATGATAAAATGCCCCATTCAGTAAAACTATTGAAAAGTGCTTCATCGATGGATTATCATCATATTTCCATAGGTTATCTTTAGTATTCCAATAATGTGAACGAGCTTGAAATCCAACTAAGCGATTAGGAAATTCTTGCCAAGTTTGATATGCAAAATTTAACTAAAAAAATAGTGCAGAGAGAGTATTAATTCTGAGCTAAATCGACTTTTAGTCCAACGTATAAAAAACGAAGCACTTGAACTACACTCAAAACTTCTTTGGATTTCATTATACTTTGTGTTTCAATATATAAAATTAGTCTAATTTTATCATTGTGGGATTGTTTGTTCTGTTATTTTTTAACAAATGTGGAAAAAAACTATCGATAATAAAAAATGTTAAATATACGCTCAAAACATGAATTAATCAACATCAATGAGTACATAATACAGACTTGAAGTGAATATTTTTGGTTTCGATGTTAATTTATCTTTTTATTTGTCCCTTTATCATAATCAAGTTTTACATCTGGATTGCTTTAAGCGAGTGACCATTTTAACTCTGTAATAATATATTAACAGAATTCAACTTTGAAATCCAATGGAGATAAGTACCAATAGTTCTTTCTTCAGCTGTATTACTTACTTTGAGTTAGCTTTTTACTGATCAGCACCTTAAGAACTGTTCTGGATTATTGATATAGGTTCATTAAAGTTTCTAGTAAGAGACGTTACAGTTTAAGCTTTTTATTTTTTTACACTAATAAAATCTGTAGCTTCATTGTGTCACTTTTGATGTGGAGCGTTTGGTTTCTGTATTAAAATCAAAATAAACGTTAATCCATGCCATTTGTACTCTGAGGTTCCTATGAAAGAATTTCACTTGATCTCCAAATAAATTTAAGAAAGTAAGTTTACTGTTATATATTTAGTTCAATACCTTTTTGATGAGTGTAGGAATATTACTATCTTGCTGGGATTATCTTAGGAAATGTGCTCGTACAATGAGTAAACTATAGTTATCTCACAATCAATCAGCCATAACCAATACAGCAAGTGTGCACCGGCTTAATTTGTTACAGCATATTGGTAAACAAAGGCGAGATTCTTTAGTAAGAGAAGCATCAAATGACTAGGAATTAAAGTAGTAGTAATGATAATAAGAAAGATGAGACACAAAGAATATGATTCAGAAAGGAATAAAACACGGGAATCCAGCGTTTAGGTAGTGATCAAGGATGAATGGATGTATCCCATTACAAGCGATTTTAACATATGCCGCAATTATCCAGCAGACCTGGACCAGGAAGTTTACATTCATCAACACGAACCGTTACAGTAGTTAACGTTTTTACAATCTAATAACACGTCTTGGTTTCGTCTCTCCTAAATTTCTTCTATCCTATGCCTCTGACATCTAGGACAGCATGTCCAGGTAGACAGTGGCTGAGTAACTGTAATACATATCTCAACAATGAATTTAGACAAAGGATTAATGTGCACGCCAGCTGCCAGTTCCTTGATTTACTTATCAATATACTATTTTATTTATTATTTATTTTAACACATAGATATCGGTACAAGAAGTCACCAAATACATATGCGCCACACATATTTCATTTGATATGTGTGAGGGCTGTGATACTGCTCGGGTGCCCAAACCGAAGCAGGTGGTTTTCTTAGGGGGCCACACCCCTATCAATATACTGCTAGTTTACATAGCTTCCAGTTACAGATTTCATTCTTCCAATCCCTGGGTGGGTTGAGCGAAGCTATCGTAGGACGGTTGAACGTGGATTACTAGGAGCCACGACGGGATCGGCGAACATAACGGCCATTTACAATGGACAGAGAGTGGTGTCGTTGATGACACTGCTTTAATTCATAGGATGTAACATGGGGTCAGCAATATCGAATAAATTTAGAGTTACTGTAAAATAGGAACATGACGTGTAGTCAACAGCTTGAAGAGGTGTTATTGAAATTTGTACTGCATTCACCAACACCTTACTCACACGTTTAACTTATATAGAAGCAGAAACGTTACCTTCATCCTCAAGTTTGTGATTGCCCAATAAACGTGATAATGACATGACCAAAATAAGAGGTAGATTTGTACACAATGGTGAAATCACAACACAGCAACATTGTAGCTTATAGATGGCAAGGAGAAAACGAATACATATAATTCCAGAACTTGGACTGAGGTCGAACGCAAATATAGCTAGACAGAATGAATGACCCATTGTTGCAGAAAATGTATTGAAGTTTCCAAATCTACGAAAAGTGGAACTACATTTCTGATCATCTCCAGCTGAACCCTAGTCGCATGTACACGTCGATTTTACTGGCCCATTCCATAGTAGTTATATCTTCGTATATGTTGACTCATATTCTAAATGACCAAAGATAATTCCCATGAAACACATTACCTCTCATTCTACAATTGCGAAAATTATATCGCTGGTATGTCGTTTTAGGGTCCCGGATATCCTGGTAACAAACTATAATACAAAATTTAATTCTACTGCCTTAAGTTTTTGTACTAGATTATTCGTCGGTTCCCAAGCTAAAAGGTTTGTGGATACTTCCAAGAGAGCATAAAACACAGGCTTATTATACATACACGCTGGTAGAAAAGGTGTTATGACGAGAAGAATTATGAACAATGAAAGTTGTGTAACCTGTCTTTCGAGACTCTACTAACTTTACTTTTTGACGTGTAGTTATTAACAGTTGATGCATATGATTCCTATATTCTCCTAATCACAAGTTACTATACTTTAATCATGGAGTTTGGTATCCAAATGTTTAACTTAAACGCCCAATTTTTGGCACATATACATCGAATTACCTGTTCAACTGTAATGTTCAAGTTTAATGAATATGCAAACACAGCCAAGGTAGGAATTTCGTGAAAAGGTTGAAAACGAACACTTGGAGATATAGAATTAGAAGAATATCTTAGTGTAAAGCGTTCGTCAGGGAGAACGATTTCAACTGGGACTGGAGCATAAGATTTTACTTCATTATTATTTGGTGGAAAATTCTTGCATTGCCAAATCAGAATTATCTAAAAAGAGGATGGAATAATAAAAACATCCGTACACAGATAATTAGTTATCAGTTTCACATGTATACGCAATCGAATATAGTCAAACTATAGCTCAATGAACTACTCAACCAAATGGATAATGAGTTGAAATTCAATCCCATTTACCATATAATGTAATTATGAATAGTTCCACTGTTTTCGATCAGGACTTGATTGAAAATGATTCTTATTGGATACATCATACGAGCAAGTTGATAATATGTGATTGCTATCTCATATATACCTTTCTCAGCGATGTCGCTAACCAACCATCATCTAGTGTGCTGTGTCAGTTGAAAACTGGGATTACTGGATAATAGCTTATTGAATATTCCTACTACCGATAGAACACTTCATGTATATGACATCTTGTTTATAGAATATGACATCGTTTTTCAGTTTGTGATCTAAATTATCATTGAGATTGTATTTCAATGTTAAGTGAATTCTTATGATTGTAAATAATCAAGTTGCTAATAAGAGTAAGCTTTCAGTTTTCCACATCTGTTTCGCAAATCCTAAATAATAATAATAATAATAATAATAATAATAATAATAATAATAATAATAATAATAATTCATTCATTCATTCATTTCATTTTAACACATAAGTATAGGTACAGGGTAGAGCAACGTAGACATAAGCATCAATCATTTTATATAATCTGTCCTATTTACAGTAGTCGCCCGAAACGGGTCTGCCTCTTTCGAACAACAGTAGCAGTAGTAATACGAATTTTCAAAACAAAAGCTCGTAGCTCTGAACTTAAACTGAATAGATTCAGCTTTCTCTTAATCCCAATCGAAAAGTCAAGGTATACACTTTGTCGAAAATCCAAACAGTCTGTAAAAGATTGGGTTAAATTCCATTGTCTATTAATTTGCGTATTTGTGTGAAAACACATGCATAGAGAGGAAAAAACGATATCTCCAAGCAAGGGTGGTTGAATACATACCTAAGTGGCGACAAAAATAAATGGATTTAAATGGTCAAATGAGAGCATAGGAATAGACAAACATCTCTCTGCATTGTGAAACATTCGGTCGAGATGGGTCATAGGAGTGATGTCAAATCAACTTTTGAAGCGATTAAGGACGTGTACTTAAATTTACTGAAGCCTTATCAATACAGAAATCTAAACCTCCTTTGTGCACAAATAAAGTTTGTTCCCACCTTGAATTTATCATGGTTATATTGATTTATTACTCAGAGTCCTCTTGCCTTCCTATAGATACCTTATTAAGTAGATATGTGATCAAGATGTATTACGCTAATATATCACCTAGTTTTGATAATCTTGGTGACTTAATGTTCAATAAGTAAATAAAATCATGTCTATTATAAAATGACTGCAACTCACCTTCTGTAGGACTGAAGCATTAATCACATATTAGGAATGAATGTCATACTATCTGATATGCAGAGCTTATCAGATTATATAACTCAAGCCGTAAAGAGACCGCTAATTTAGGCAACTGGGAGCCATAATGGACTTCGTTTGAAGTTCAATGATTAAAAATAATCAGCATAAAACTCTGAGTTTATATGTCGTCTTTAAGATTTAGTAAAATCAGTATACGATAGTGAAGACTGTTGAGGTTTTACTGAGATTATGAGCTGACCAATGTTAAACCATTATTGAAAACCCGGAAGCACTGGATGGCTGTTTCATCCTAGTACGGGACTCCTTAGCGGTGTACAACTTCAACCAATCCACGATAGTTCGCGACCATCTTCCATTATCTTTGGTGGGTAACCGCCTCAGTAAATTTACAGAGCAATTGATAAAAGAACATTATTTTAAATAATATAATTCAGTACTTAAAAGTTTGTGTGATGAAGTGTAAGTGATATTTATTTATTGGTGTACTTTTTTTAGGAGGAAATAACTGGAACAGATTTTAACATATAATCGCTAGTCGAAGCATTAACTTATGGATTATTTTATTGTGTTCAGGAAGAAAAACACACACACTCTCTCTTGCACACATACATACGAAAGTGAAAACTCGATATGGTAGTATTACTTAATTTGAGTAATAAATTTTCTTTACCTTTCGTAAAAACTCTGAATTGAACAGAATTTTACCAAGAGATTTTAACCGTTCCAAATAAACAGCACAAAGTTCTGCACGTATTGGAATTAACATTGTGAAACCTGACTTGATTTCGGCTATTTAAATGGAAAATACAAAAATGAAAGGTGTTTAAACATAAGAAAAAAAATCTACTATTAATAGGATAAAAGTAAAGCAGACATGATAATGGTTTGTCAACATCTATAGTAAAAATAAAACAGCTCTGTCTTAGTGACCCACTGATTATTAATGTTATATCTTGAGCTCAGATTCTTGATATGGCGTGTATTAGTGAAATATTACATTTGCTTTTTAAATTAGGGTACACAAATAACAATGTTCCCATTGATTGTTCACTGTGAAAAGATGGCTCAACAATGGTACGCTTTCAGAATATTCCTAAGAAAAACCTACATTGACAGTGCATCGGATATCGTTGAATTGCTACATCACAGCTGTCCATAGAATCTACATGCGAAACTATGAGACCACCAGGTAATGTATTCCAAATTTCGTAACTCCGACGACGAAGTGAAACTCTATCTCGTATAATCTGAAATCAGAATAATAACCAAACAAAAGAAAGTGTAAGCATACAATTTTGTTAGAAATCACGTGAAATGAAAGTTTTGCAGTCAGTTAGTTACAACGTAGGACCAAGCACATATATGCATCGGTTCAAGTTGCCATACCTCACTAGCACATGAAGACGAACACCAAATTCATAGAAGTAGTTACTTCAATGGTAGTAATATTTAAAAGAAAGATTATGTATAAGGATATGATACGAGGAAAAAAATTAGTTCGTAGAAAGATATAAAGTAATTTTAATCTCACGGTTTAAAGGAAAATAAAGAGTGTATACACCTACTCCAATGTGATCAATTCTGGACCATATCACTTAGACTCTCTAGCCATTGGGTACAATAGCAAGCAAAATATGAGCCATACAATGTAAAGAGATAATATTGTGGAGAGATAAAAGAGATAAAGGGGGTGTAATCAAAGAAAAATAAGTGAAAGGGAATGGCATGTAATAAGAGATACACCTCAGTTGAAAGTACCAGTAAAAGAGTTTTCTTTCCGTTGACGCACCCCATCTTTCTTTTATAAAACTCCAAAAAAAACTAATGCAATCTAGTCATTGGCTTCTATTCTGAGCCATGTTTGATAAAATCTCAAGCCACTGGGATGTGTCATCTTTAAGATCCCAATCAGGAAGTCGTGATAGGCCAACAGATCCCATTTCTATACAACTTTCTTTCTTGCCATCCCCACCCAATTGCCTTAGTACGGTTGATGGTTGCAAGAGTTCGTTGTCCCTCTCGAAATGCTATTACACGGTCATGAAATTTTAGTTTCTGCTACGAAAGTTCTACTCACTACCTACCTCTACAACGTGTAGGTACTGCAAGAGGACGAAAAGCAAGCGCCTGACTGTTAAACTGGGCTGTTAAATATGAATGATCAACCTAGGGGAGTTGTAAAACTCTCACTGTGAATCAGTGATGTAGATGGGCCCTGTGATTCTAAGAGATGGAATAACGTATAAACTTATTTTGGCCACTGGTCACCATGGTCTGGGGGTCTCCTGGAACTGCTCTGCTGCCTGGTGTATTAGACCCCTAGATCAAAGGCTCGAGAAGTGACCCCCTAAGGAGAATATTTACTTCAATTCGAGCAGCCGGGAATTTCCCAGCACACACAAATATTATTGTTATTAACAAAGAAAATGTTCTCGCTTCCCTAGCTACCCATACAAACAATATAATGCAAAGAACTAATTAAAAGCAAATTTCTTTTACGCTACTTTATCTTTACATTCCTTTTTTGTTTCGATTTAAAGCTGGGAGTACCATAACATATTTGAAATGTATTTCTGTAACTAACAGCGACTGTACAAACTATATCATACAAATTCAAAAAGGAAATATTTACCTCAAGTGTTGTAAGAACAATTGATTCGATTGAAGATAAATACGTATGCCAAAGAAACATTACTTGTTGTCGATATTGAATTATTTGATGCGATGTAATACGTCGTAGACTTAATGGAAGCAATAAAGGTAATCGTTCGTCAGCCCAAATAACTGCTCGATTCCAATCAATCACTTCAGAAAATGGAAGTTCCAAATCATTACTCAACATAACTGGGATACAACCAGCCTGTAAAACTTCTAAGAACCTTAATTAAATAACACAAACACAAAAAAAAGAAATGGAATGAATAAGAGTATTTTACTTTGAACGAATAGAATCCTCATTTTACTAGGACAGTATAGTAGGAATTGCGAAAATAAAAGGACTCAAGAATTTATTTATTTTTTGGGGTTATAAGCAACAAGGTAGCTTCAAAGAAACCCATTAATTTCTTAATGTTAAAGTATTTTTTCGTGGAAATAGTTCACATCACGGAATAATTCAAGCAAAACGAATACTGAGAGCTCAGAAACGCCGGATGGCTTTCTTCTTTCTAGTTGGAGCTCCAACAACCACACTAAGAATTGATTACAGAATATTCAGATATTGGGATGAACTCATTAACTTTAAATCACTTAGTTGGAATACAGTGATGCACATACCCGGATTCACGCAGTTCGTGATATCCCACAATAACTACCCAGTAGTATTAGCGCAATACCTCACACTTTCGACCTAGTTAGTTGAGCGACATCATAGATCGATTGAACTTAGATATTAACACAGTTGGATGCCTCTCAGTGGTCTAGAGGTTAAGCGTTCGCGCAAGAGACTGGAGGTCCTACATGCGGGATTGTGGGTGCTGAGGAGTCCCACGCCGGGACGAAACGGCCGTCCAGTGCTTCTAGGTTTTCAACGGTGGTCTTGATAAATCTTCTAACTGAACGCTAGATTCGGTTCCTAAGCTCTTCTAATAACCCACAGGCTAGATCAACACAGAGACTTGAACACGAGAGAGAAGGTGCGAAAGATGGGAGAAACGCTTCACTCCAAAGGTTCTTAGGTATCATTACCAAGATTTGATTTGATAATTTCGAATAAACTGAGCATTGGGTAGATTGTTATACACAAATAATATGTTTGTAATATCCCATTGTGTAGAAAAATTAGATTTTCTGACGTTTCGTGACTTAGTGTAAGTCACTTCTTCAGAGAATATTTATTTATTTATTTATTTGAACACATAAATATTGGTACAGGGGGGCACCAAATATATATGCGCCACACAAAACAATGATAATTTGAAGAGAAGGAGAAAAGAGAAAAAAGAAGAAGAAAAAAAAAGTAATGGACGTGGGGAATTATAAAAAAAAAAGGAAGAGAGAGAGAACAATGGTGGGGGAAACGGAAAGGTACAATCAGAAGAGATCTTTCAGTTAAGGAAGATACAACCACTTTTTATGAAGAAAGTAAAGGAAGGTTACAGCACGATCGCCACTGGCTTCTGTTTTGAGCCATATCTGATAACGTCTCTAGCCACTATGTTGCACGATCTCTCGGACCCCAACCAGGGAGTCGTGAAGGACCAACAGAAGCTAGCCCTTTGCAGCTTTCTTTCATACCACGACACGATGTCATATACTGACCACCTCTCCGCTTTTTCCAACCAGTCCCAGAGTCGGCAAATAATGCAGAACGTGGAATTCTCTGGGACGACATTCGTAGAACATGTCCAAGCCACCGAAGTCGGTGTTTCAAGATGGTGACACCAATTTCATTATCGTCTCTGTGACCGAACACTCTATGCCGAACCTCTGCATTACTGACATGGTGTTGCCACTGGATGCCAGCAATCCTTCGGAGACAGCGATGATCGAACACAGAGAGTCGTCTAACATCCTCAACTCGGAGAGGCCAGGTTTCACAAGCATAGAGCGAAACTGCTCTCACCGTCGCGTTGTAGATCCGACCTTTTACAGCCAAACTAACATCACGAAGGCGCCAAAGATGGCCCAGATTGGCATAAGCCGCTCTGGCTTTCACTATACGTGCATTGATCTCATCACTCACGCCACCACCAGCACTTATGCAGCTACCTAGATACACGAACTTCTCGACTACTTCAATCTGCTCACCATCCAGAGTGAGTACAGGATTAGAATCCTGCCAGTCTTGTAGAAGTACTTTGCACTTCGAAGGTGCAAAGCACATACCATACCTACGGACACTGATTGCCAACTGATTAAGTGCGGATTGCTCTTCAGAGAATAAAACGTCAGAAAATCTAATTTCTCTACTCATTGGGATATTACAAATATATTATTTATTTATTCCAAAGGTTCGTTTATGTACAGGAAATTTAGGGTTTTTATATTATTTTAGATCGTCTTGGGTTTCCAGGAAATTCTGAGACGCTAATAACCGTAATAGCAGTATGGGTAATCATCCAATCACAAACTCGACATGAGACTTTCCACTTTGTAGATGTTTTTGGCACACCTTTTAGTGAACGCCGACTGGATAAGATGCTTCTCAGCGTTTTCGGAGCCTTTGTGTTGGCTTTTATTGAGGAATTTCCTGGATCTCCTCAACAGGTCTAGCTTAGACCGAATCATGAACTCAACTATTAAAAAAGATTATTTAAACTTTTTTTATTTTGACATTATTAAAATAATTGACCGAAATTACTGTACCAGAAGTATGAAATAAAATTAAAACACAGTGGATGAAAGACTATCACAGTAACTACTCAGCTATAGCACTAAGTAGATAGATAGTATGAGAATTGTGTAATCTAATTATATCCACTATGAGTAACCAGTAATCTTTTTCACGATTTCATTGCTCGAATATCCTAGATTAATCAATAGCAAGCCCCTAGTTTCTTGGTTGTCGTAGTTATTTTTTATTTGATCACAATAAGTGGATGATTTATCTCCTTGTCGATAATTTATATTGGCATTTAATTACTGGTACGATAACGCTGCACGTAAGTTTTTAAGTAAACTGGTTTTTATTTAATATAGAATCACTTTTATATATTTATATATTCCGAGTTATATAACTAATTTACCAAGTATAGGTTAGTGTATTCGACTTCGAACCACGCTGTTTGTGTAGTGGTCAGTGATACCAAGAAGTTGCCCAGCCATACGACACAGGCGGGTGGGGTTGGAATTTGTGATCTAATTGTTGGTAGCTGATTGGTTCAATCAATAAACCAGCGCTCCATATTAATAGAAGTTATACCAGTCTTCTAATTTTATTCAATATTGGTGCATACGTTATAAAGGTTCTGATGCATAAAAAATGACATTTTAATCTATATTATAGTGAGTACTTCTCGATAACCGTACAAATAAAGACTGAAAATATCAATTATAAAAAAAACATTTGAAGATATTACAGATTCAATGTAACTACAATTTTTTACCGATATGAACCTAATCGTCGACCACGAGGAACAAGACAAAACGTGGAATTGTACATTAATTCCCAGTAATCGTATCTAGAAAAGAAATAGATAGATTAAATATATCAGTCTATCAAGGTGGATCAATCAGTAAACACTATGCAAGATAAAATCAATAGATTTGAAACATGATCTGGTTCATAGAACGTAATAGTTTAAGAAAATGTGAATTACTATTATTTTAAGATATGAAAAAGAAAACTACAGTATAATTGGGTGAGGTGATACACTAGAACAAAGTTCTTTCGCTACGAAAAAAATACTACAAATCAATCTGAAATTTGAGAGTGTTTAGGAATAAATGCCACAATTAATAATAGCAATATGCGATAACTAAATAAATTGTTCAATGTGAATATGATACCAAAAAACGAAAAATTCAAAATGAAACATTTCTACCTTTTAAGTTGCCAGCATACAGAAGAACATAAAATTAAAACAAAAATGTAAGAAATCATCTTCGTATGCAGAAAAAGAAAATAAAGTGCAATTAGTGCTGAAATAATAAAACAATTACTTGAGAGTTATAAAATGATAAAGTCAATCATTCACTTATAACAATAAAATTCATCATGTCAATATCTTGGAACCACTTTGATTCGTATCACTACCATAAAATATTAAACATAATGGATATTGTCAATTATTACGTAATAATTTATCTGTTTTGAATATATATTGAAAACATTTATCAATCTATAGGAATAAACTAATTCAAATAAATAAAATGATAAATGTATAATATTTCAAATGAAAATGTTTGATTTGTATATTAATCGGTAGAAATGAAAATGGGTGTTTATAATATTTGAAGATGATTGAATTCTATCAAGATTTGATAATCAATCAAAAGAGGAAATATTTTTTCTTGTTTTTTTAAAAACAGTAGGTGAGACTATAATTTATGGAAGAACTTTGAAAGATGCTAAAGTAAAGGTTATAAACTAGTGTAAGGATTTAAAATTAAGATTTACGATTGGATGTTAGGGTTAGGAATTAGAGTTTAGGTATTCATCACGAACTGACATCAGCTATAATGTCAAAATGGTAATTAGCCAAATGAATGGATGAGTTTCGCGCCAAAATCTAACGGTTGTTATATCAAATCTGATTGGTTCGTCCATAAGTTATAGTCTACTTAAAAAGTGCAGAGTTAGCAACAACTTTTGAAAAGAGGAGACAAAATGAAGGCAGAGAATACTTACGCATCATATAAAGCCATATCTGTAGCACAGCGTTTATCAGCATATCGTGTCCAATCTGTGCCATGACGACAAGTAGTTAACATAATTATATCTTTTCCATTGTGTAAATGAAAAAGTATATCACGTGATGCTGATCCAATTCCACTGACATAACGTTTACCCTATAAAACCAAAAAATAAGTGCTCAATCTTTTGTATTGTACATGTTGTACATGTTTTAATAGATTCACAATATTCAAGTATTGTTAATTTTTATCCTTCACTTAGTCAAACTATAATCTTACAATAGTTAACGTGGTGAAATATCGCAAATAAAAATGTCTGCCAACACACCAAAATTGTGAACTAAATATTTTGAAGAGTCGACAATATAAATTTGGTTTTATTATTTTGACTAATAAAGAATTTTGAGAGTGATATACACAATAGGAAATCCTAAATGGTATAACACAATTATTTTTAATTGAAATAAATTAATAGTAACCAGATGGGATTGAGAAAATGAATATGAATATTTATTACGTATTTTCTGAAATTATAGTGGAAACCTTTGACTTGCGGTTGTCAATGAAGTCATTAGAGAAGTAGTAATTCACATTTAATGAACTAAACTATATAGTGAGATGATTAGAGCTAGAAATAAAACCTAGTTGATCCCGAATTGTGTCCTAATGATTTTTTATTTGTCGTAAGATCTGGATATAATTTTTTGTTGTGTGTATACTGTTGAAAAGTTCCGAATTCAGACGAAACAACTGCTTAATGCCACTTAGTCTTTAATAGTTCCATAACTTATCTCAGGCTATAACGAGAATTACAAATATGAATATGAACACTACAGATAGAAAAAAAAAACTACCTTAAAACTTAAAAGATATGGTAGATCAAGTCGACCGCGTAAATGTTCACTGCTCACTAATTGACCCAACTGACTTGAACCTGATTGTAAGGGATGTTGAGAGTGAATAAGTGGTAAAGAAATATCAAATTTTGGACGAAAATGCTTAGTCGAAAAGCTGGCTTTAGCTAGCATGGCTTGGCCAAGCCATAAACGATATTCATCTTCGTGATAATATGGCCAAGTGCCTGCATGTAAATTAAATATTAAGTGATTACGACCAGCATATTCTGATGGCTTTTGAGTAGTGGTTGAGAGTGAATCAGCTTTTATAGAAATATTGAAAAAGGAAAAATAAATATAGGTGTATAAGGTTTCGTTAATTTAGAAAAAAATTTTACGTTGACAAGTACTACAATTATTGTGAGTACACTGTGGCAATATAGCAAAAATTGTTATAGCATAGGAGAAATTGGTCATTAGTTTGCTATGACTAACAAAATCTAGTCGTATGTAAACAAGCATATACTTTATGAACGCGGAGTGTTCAACTATTTTACACTAGTCATACTAAACATTAATATATACGAGTTTTGAAGTGACACTATGGATAAATGTGTATGGTACCCAAAACAAACGTTCTCAAACTTTTAATTCCTTACATATATTCAACTGATTTGAAATTTTTAGACTTGTTGAATACTAACCTTTGGAAACCTGTAGGACTTTCTCAACGGTACCTGGTAGCTTATTTGTACCGGAATGGGTGGAACTAAACACATTCGATAAAAGTTCAAATAAATTATAAATGATTATAAACTAACACCCCTAATGGAGAATTCCATTTATTGAATGTATCTTAATAAGGGTAACTCAACAACTAAGAATCAGTTCAGTTGTTAAGCTCCAGGATATCATTAGAAATATTATTGACATGACCACGGTGAACTAAGTATAGTTGAGTTTCGAGACCACAGCTTCAAATTCGACACTGATATGTTTAAACTAACGAATTATTTAAAATGTGACCCTATGAGAAATGCACATGTTATTTTTTATCAGTGATTTACATAAAAAATTAACTAAGTTTAGAAAAAGATCTACATGCTTCTAAAAATGTTAGACTTACGATCAAGGTCTCGTCTAGGCAACGAGTTCCAAAATGGTAAATTAACGAGCTCATGAGCTATATACTGACCGAAATGTGGGCTTAAACGATCTCGATCTAGAGTATCCAAGCTAGGAATAAATATACAAGCTTCATATGGGTCTGATGTGAGAAGTTTTGAATTATGCAAAGCGGTGAGGATTTTTTGATAGGTTAAAGATAGATTGGCTTGTTTTGACGAGAGAGGATATACGTAAACCTGTGAAGTGAATTGTTTTAATAAGTACCGAATCAAATGAGCAGGCATAAAATAAAGTAAATTGTGGATACGTTAAGGAGACAATTAGCAGAAGGGATGTAGTAATAAACCATACAAAATTTTCTGGTGCTTGTGGACATGGCATTGCAAACAACTAGGTATCGACAAATATCCCCTTTTGAGTTAATCTGGGAATATTATGCAAATAATATGAGATGGTACCCGAAACAGGTTTTAAACAAAACACCAGTTCAGGTAGTGAACGGAAAAAGTATACCTTTATTTCTCAGAATATGCTACAATGCCATCGCATGTATTGGGAAACGATAATGATTTTGTTTCCTGATATCAAACCTGGAGTCGGCTTGTTGCACAAAACTGTGCTGTATCACTATCTTCTAGGTTGTGATATTTTTGAAGTTTTCCGAGAACCGTATAAATAACTGTTATGTTCGAAGAATAAATGAATGGTAACTACGAGGAATTTTTAGTGGACTATCCCGATGGGAGACCTAAACGCAAAAGTCGGGGTGAACAACATCGGGTATGAAGATATCATGTGGCGACATGGACTGACGGGGAGAAGGGAAGGAGAGTGGTGGCATATTTTTAAATTGATATGCATTCAAGAAAACGGTTATATGTGGCACCAAATTCCCCAACAAACGCATACACAGAGCTACATATGTCTCACCGGATCACACTACACAGAATCAGATCGATTGTATTTGCATCACTAAAAATTTTAAAAGGTCAATGAACGACATGAGAATAGAGAGAGGAGCTGATACAGAGTCAAATCACCACCTAGTTATTACCAAGATGAAACTAAAGCTAAAGAAGCACTGGACAGCTGGGAAAACAGCACTACAAAAGTTTAATACAACCTTCCCTCGACTTACTACCAATCTCAACCAATTCAATGTAGCTCTCAACATCAGGTTCCAAGCCCCACAAGATCTACTCAAAGAAAAAGAAACTACTATAGAGGATAACTGGAAAGAGATCAAAGAAGCACTAACTTCAACATGTCAAAAGATGGTGTGCCGCACAAGCATCATCCAAAGGAATGGATCTTTATCAAAGCCCTGTTTCGGATTCAAGAAAGTAAGAATAAGAAGACAGCAATTAACAACAGCCGAATAAGAGCAGAGAAAGTCAAGTCATAAACTGAATGCACAGCAGCAAACAAGAAAGTGAAGAGGAGCATTAGAACTGTCAAGCAAAAATATATGAAACACCCAGCAATGAGAGCGGAAGAAGCTCCAAGAGAAGGAAATATCAGACAATTACTTGACACAACAAAGAAACTAATAGGGAAATATAGTAAAACACAGCAATCAGTCAAGAACAAAAAGGGTAAGCCAATCACTGAGATTTAAGAACAGCATATCGGATGTGTGGAACTCTTTGAACACCTGAATAGACCAGATCCACTGAATACACCAAACATTGAAGCAGCACGCGCGGATCTTTTAGTGACCCTGGAATGATTGCTATCGCAACATACATATCGTCAATTCTCGTATATAATCACCGACTTAAATCATGTTAGTTAATAACGGAAATAAATAAGTCGAGTACGAGAATAGAATCCAAGTACTCATATTTTGTACACTCATTGATCTGCACAGACAATCAGGGAGACGGAGCGAAGGAAACGAATAGGAGCGAAACTGAATGACACACAGTTGAGAAAGTATGTGAGCCTGCTCGATCTAATCAAGCGTTAATCGATATTTATAGACAGACAAAAATAAGTTACATGTGAGGAGTAAGATAAGAAATGCACACACACACATGCCCACATAAAAAGTTAATGTTGATAAGCAAACAATTAAAAAGGTCAAAATGTAGCTTAAGAAGAATGGATGATTTGGCTTGTCCAGAAGCTAGAATAAGCTATGTGGGCTCGACATAGGACCAGCCATTACAACCTTCCTATAGATGTCACTCCACCAACGACCGAAGAAATCAGAATGGCCATCAGACAAATCAATAGTGAGAAACAGAAGGACTGAACAACATAACACCTGAAATCAAACTCAGGAGTAACTGCAAACATGCCCCGCGTTCTACTCAACAAGACTGGGAATAACAACTGACACTGACAGAGTGGAAAGCAGGATACCTCATAAAGATACCGAAGAAAGGTGATCTGAGCAAATTTGATAACTAGAGAGGCATCACACTGCTATCGGTAACAGGAAAAGTTTTCAAGTGTTGCTGAACTTGATGAAAGATATAGTAGGCGCCCAGCTACGAGATCAACAGGCTGGATTCCGTAAGGACCAGTCGGGCACAGACCAAAAAGTGACACTAAGGATCATCGTTGAACAATCAGTTGAATGGAACTCGTCACTATACATCAACTTCCTTGACTATGAAAAAGCATTTGACAACGTGGGTAGGAGAACCTTATGGAACCTTCTCCAACACTATGGTGTGCCAGAGAAGATCGTTAACATCATCCGGAATTCATACGACGGACTACACTGTATATTCCGGCATGTAGGGCGTCTTATAGATGCATACCAAGTGGGGACCAGTGTCAGATAAGGCAACCTACTCTCACCCTATTTCTTATCGTGGTCGACTGGATTATGAAGACCTCTACAACTCATGGCAGGCACGGAACACAATGGACAGCTTGCATACAACTAGATGATTTGGACTTTGCAAACCACCCAATGCAGCAGAAGCCTCTGCAGCAGTAGGCCTCAACATACACAAGGGAAAAGCAAAATCCTCAAATAAAACACGGAGAACACCAACCCAATCATACTTGATGGAGACTCTGGAACACGTGGAAAAATTAACGTACCTGAGAAGCATCATCGATGGACAAGAAGGATTGGATGCAGATGTAAAGGCGAGGATCGGCAAAGCAAAGACCGCATTCGTACAATCGAAGAGCATATGGAATTCAAAACAACCGTCAACCAATATCAAAGTCAGAATCTTTAATATGAACGTCAAAACAGTCAGTTTTACTGTACGGAGCTGAAACGTGGAGAACTACTACAACCATCATCAAAACAGTACACACAAGATACTCAATGTCCGTTTATCAGATAACATCAACAACAACCTACTGTGGGAGAGAAGAAACCAACTTCCAAGTAAAGAGGAAATTAGGAAAATACGATGGAAGTGGATAGGACATATATAGTGGAAATCACCAGGCTGCACCACGAAGCAAGCGCTAACTTGGAATCTTGAATGGAAACGGAAAAGAGGGAGAACAAAGCACACACTGCGCCGGGAATCTGAAGCAGACATCAAAAGAATGAATAGCAACTGGAAAGGATTTTCCAGGACAGAGTTCGACGGAGAATCCTGGTGGGTGGCCTATGCTCTTCTGTGAGGGGTAACAGGAGTGAGTAAGTAATCAGTATACACATTCTTTTTGCATGATTATTGAGTAACTAGATCATATATATTTATATTCCTTTTATTATAAGCTTTTGTTTGACCCATTAACTATTATTATGCCATTTACTATTCTTAATTTATTCCTAATCCATTATCTACAGTCTCTCCTACTCACAGCTACTTTTGGTTTGGTCTTGTATAATAGTTATTTTTCATGTTATGGTGTGAGGGGGTGCAGTACGCTTGTATATAAATTGAATGTTTCTGAAGTATAATATTCATATAGTGAAGGCAAATATTGTTTTCTGGACTCGACGAACAGGGTAAGGTGAGAAGCAACTATGTCGAGGACCAATAAGGATTCAAAGTTAACTCAAGGCTGCTAGTGCGGGTTGAAGTGTCATTGGTTTAGTACAGGGATAAGGTCATAAAAGTCGGTATTTTGATTGGCGATCTTGCCACATGATATTGGACATGGTTATAAGTCATAAGTAAGCCATAAGGAAGGGCAACTACATAACTCCATTATTCAAAACCGCAAATGAGTTCATATACGGTTGTACGTTATCATAACTTCCCAACACTTTTCCTATGAATGATACTTTGGAAACAGTTCTAAAGTATATGATGACTATCCAGACCGATCGTTCAGGAGACTCTTAATACTGACCCGTATCATTGTACAGCAATGGACGAGCTACTACAATCGCAATTAATCAGCTGGAAATCAGCTTTACTAAGTATACTATTTAGTTCTCACCATTAGAACACCTTAAGACTTGATTATGAATCGTTAAAAGTAGTTTGAAAGTTTTTATGCTTGAGCTCCTCTACCAGAAGGTTTAGTCATCGACTTAGAATATACAAATAATAACCTTGCTCTGTAAAGACACTAATAAAACAGTCATCTGATCACATTGAACAACAAAGCAAGTATACTTGAGATGCGTTTCTCTCCCTTTAAATCCAAAATGTTGCTTCAGGATTGGTCCGTGTCAACACGTGGACAAATAATCAAGAGTAAATTAAAATGCGTTGACAACTTCATCTGATCAGCCCTGGTGGGTTGGTGTCTGAAGAAATTTAAGCACAAATTCGAAGAGCTCAGTTGGCCTTCCTTAGCTCGTCACTCGTGGTGTAGGCATGTGTAGGGCGTGTACACTGTCCATCAAATTACCCTGTATTACTTTGTGCTATGGAAAATTGTGTTGGGAAGCAGAGGACATATGTAGGCTGAAGATTTTTGATCGCTGGTGTCTTTGAAGCATCACTTGCGTTCCGTAGTATGACCATGTGTTAGGTTCGTTAAGCTTGAATGCTACTACTGATTCGTCTAACTCGGAACGGAACGAAGTATCAAGCATTCAGAGACTCGATAGGCTATTCTGGTCCGTTGTCCCCGACTCAGCTAACCCGATCAAGAAGTCTTGGTAAGACGTATGATAATGGTTCGTAGGTCAAAATAAAGCTTATAAGAGGAACATGAATATGAATAGTTTAGTTATTTAACAATTGTACGATAAAATATACGTTTAGTATTGGTCCACAAATGGATCCCAAAATTACCATTCATTATTCTTGTCGGGACATAGCACCATGTGAGCGAAATTGGGGTAGGGCTTAAGGTTTTGTGGCCCGTTTATCTAACTCCCGCTTGAACAAGAATATAGAAGTATTTATATGCCATGAACATAAACCTAACATTTAACTCCGTATATTACCTAGGCTAATACGAAGCTAGATATAGTTGGGCTGAATGAATTTATTTCAGGCACTCGTTTAACCACACAGACAATAAAAGAAACGAAGAGGGGAAGGCGAGTGAGCCAACTCATTTTGATAAAGAGACATTCAACATTTAGAGTCAAACAAAAGCAAGTTACAGACACGCAATGAGTATGGTAAGAAATACACATATACTGTCATATAAAGACGGTCAAGGTTAATAAGCGAATAATTAACAAGGTCAAAATGTAACTTAAGAACAGTAAATGAACTGGTCTATATGGAAGCTCGAATAACTTGTGTGGGCTTAACATAGTACTGAACACTACAAGGGTATTAGGGAAAGATAGTAAACCGGTTAATGAGGTTACGTTCTCATCGACTGAGATGTTTAGGACATATATTACTTATGTCTAACTATCGTCTACGTCGATGGACGATGTTGGTCGGTGTAGGAGTGGGTTGAACAAATGCTATAGGCGATCAAAGCAAAACGTTTCACTAGTTCGTGAAGTTATTAACTGTGGATCTGAGCCACGCGATTGGAGTCCGTGTGATAATCGCGACCAGTGGTTGAAGACTTTGGGTAACATGGCTGAGAACCCTTTACAATAGCGCAGTTGAATTCGCTCTTTATCTTGAACTCCAGTATACGTTGATACATACCTTTCCAATCCTTCCTTTCGAGCTACATTTTGAATGGTCAATCTTTTCCACTATTAATGCTACCACATTATTCCGATCTCTTTTGTTACACATCTCGTTACTTTTATCTCGTCGTAGCAACGTGACACGGAAACTTGGGGCAACACGCATTTTTACAAGGCTCCACGTTGATAACGACTAACTGAATAAAATTCTACTTCAGTAGCAATCAACAAGATTGCTTCTATTCTCTTCCTCCGTTGCAGCTAGCTAGAGATAGAAGTTTAAGCTTGTCTAGAAGCTCAAACGATAGAGACCCAAGCAGAATGAACTCTCATTTGAGCGCATTCGATTACAAACCAATTACATTCAGTGATTAGTAAGACAAATAATTAAACTGAACAATATTCACAAAAATTTAATATAGCCAAATATTGTACTGAGCAAAATGCAAGTGAACGAAAGACCACATTAGTTTAATTGATACAAATTAATGTTGTAAAAAGCGAAAACTATACTGGATTAATTCAAAAATCAAATGAATAAAACTCGCACTGAGTTTATGAGAAAATCAACTGCATAAAAATTATATTTCAGCCAATGCAAAATCTCCCACCTAATCTCTTATTACTACGGTATAATTGGAGATTTGCATCCACAACAGTTAACTTTTGTGAGCACGGATGAAGATGTGGCAAACGAAAGTAGTTCTCATGTTTTGTGTCACTACGGTAATAGCCTGTTTATAAAAAGAACAGGCAGGTAACGCTTCAATCCATTCTATTTTGCTTTACCTCTGACCTTAAAACCTGACCTCTTCGAGTTAACGAGTTTTGACCATCATTACCCTGCAATGGTTTTCACTTGATAAAAGTACTGTGTACGTGAATACGATCTAATGCTGTATGTTTCTTGGAATAGTGCACTAACTTTGGTGATGTAATCCTAAAACACTTGCCTGTTAACGTAAACATACTTATTTCATCTTAGTTCCCACCCTGGGAATAATTTTAAAAATAAGGTTAAGTGGTCAGTAAATTACGTAGTGTATTAGTATGAAAAGTGTAATGTCTGGTTAGGGTTCTACAGAATATTTTTTATTTTATTTTATTTGAACACATAAACATTGGTACAGGGGGGGGCACCAAATATATATGCGCTACAGAATATGCGACTAAGTGGTTTGAGACTTCGACAAACGTTAATCAAAATCGAAGACAAGAGAAGTCTTGATACTGTTTTCTGTAAAATCAAAAGCCGTTCTAAAATTATCTTATGTAAATGCTCTCGATTGTTAAATATTCTTCGATCCATTTAATGTGTGACTTGCTGAAAATGTTATCATACTGTTTTATGTAATCTATTTTTTGATGACTGTACAGTACAAAGCTTTTGCTCAGAAGACTTAGAAAATAACGAACAAAAACGTTTTGGGTCTAAAAGTTTGAAAATATACCAACAATCACAGGAATGAGGTTGCATGCCGAAAAATGAACGTGCATTGAAATTTAACTGTTTTTTCCTTAATTATTGTGTAATTTAGCAGAAGACATAATTGGGAAGTAGTAATGTGAAGTGGCATTACAATAAATAAATAAGTTTTAACCCTTCAGACAAATTTAAAATAACGGACACTACACTGTCTAGCTGCAAGACATAAATGGTTAAAACTGTATACTAACAAGATAACGTTAGAATATATGGAAGTACTATTATAAAAATCAAAAATATTGTGCTTCCACTCACTTTAAATTCCGATTGACACAGTGTGTAATCGAAGCAATTATCCATGCGGCATGCCTCTTTAATACTCATATCATGTGATAATTTTACATGAGTCTTCTTATACAAAAAGTCTAACCATTGGTTTCCACTACGAACGTTCTCAACATGAACAGACGCCTTCTTAATGCTATTTTTAACATAAATTTCTTGGTTGTATAAGTTAAAAAGACAGAAAAATATTGTATTTGCGAGAAATGATGCCAGAAGAGCCGATAAGGTGAGTAAGAGCACCCAACGTTGCCAAGTGCCCATGAAAATCGAATAACCATTTATCGAATTTAATAGTTTATTTTCTGATCATACTGCAACTGCCAGTGAAGTTCACATTGTTCACTGGTTATCATTTGAATTAGAGAAAATAAACTGGCCAAAATGTTTATCTAAAAACTGAGATGATCATCAATGCGAAATATCATACAAACATAATGCATAAAATCCTCATTCATTTCTATTCATGAATATTTCCTACTCCCTTATACATGGAAACAGAAACTTTGGTAAAACAAATGTTCCACCAATGCTAAGGCTTCAGTGGTCTCGAATAGACCATAATGATATGTGTATTTAGTAATGTTTGTAAGTAAAAAATAAAGACCATATTTTTTGTTTGATTGTAGAACGTATGTTCAGTAAGGTTAGGTATTCGCTCCAACGTGATATAGCACTTTCGATAGACAACTATTAGCAAATTTTTAGCAGTTAAACACTTAAACCATCTACTTAAAGGCCCCGACCATAGCTGCTACCTTGACGTGGTGGTCGAGCTTGCCTATCGTGATGACCCAACCGAGCCATATTGGCTGGAACACATGTTCATGCAGGTTCTACCATGCCAGGCAGGTCGATTGGAGAACGGTAAGACTAAAAGCAGCAACTCAAGGTCTGAGGGCGAAGTCGTACTGCTGACTGTACAGAGGTGTGACAGCAGTAAGGTGTTTCCCTCGGACAACCAGCATCTGCAGCGATGCTGCCTTCTCACAAGGAAGGAAGGGGTTAGAAAAGGTTGACCCTAAAAATGTCACACCTCACCTCACCCTACGGATTTCCGTCTCCAGCGGTAAGGCCGTTTGAAGAACGGAGCTAACACATTACAAACCTCCCACAAAAAGACCGTGCGCGACCGGCCTCAAGCAGTTGTCCCTTGGGCTCTGCGGCCACGCTCCCAGGTCGTTAGGACCAACACTAGTCCGATTTCCTTTTCAGGTTCCTCCAGAAATACTCTTCCACGGTGTGGGCAGCCAGGAAGTGACATCAGCCCTCATACCCGTAACAACACACGAGACCACGTTGGTCACATGCAAGTCCTTCCTACACCTCCTAAAAACTCTCTTATCTCCACGACCAACCCTTTTCACGTCCCTTTATCACCTCGCCCCGCCAGTGCGAACGATTCGAGTACGCGGAATGTTATTCCTGGTCTCCTGAAGCCACGCTCAAAACTACACGTAGGAGCTTTCAACGTCCGAACACTGTGCCAAATAGGACAACAGGCTTCCTTAGCTAGGACCTATGCTGCGTCTCCGAAACGCGCACACAGGGTCCAAGTAGTTTCATTCGTTTAACCTCACCATGTCAAAGTAACGAACCAACTCGACTTACGCTCCGTGTATCTGGAAGCCCTGATGCTGCTTCCCGTGGCCTCGCTGGCGTAGGTATAGCATTGAGTCCTAGGGCAGAACTAGCTCTCTTAGACTGGATCCCAGTAGACAGTCGTTTGTGTGCTGTCCGACTAAACGGAACAGTAAGGACTCGGAAAGATAGGGACACTCGTCGTCTCTGCCTACTCTCCCACTGACTGCAGCTCAGATGATGTAAAAGATGTGTTTTACAGAAAGCTTTCCGATCTTATCCGAAAAGCTAGGCGTTCAGATGTAGTAATAGTGGCTGGTGACTTTAATGATCAAGTAGGTAAACTTTGCGAAAGGGAGAAACACCTGGGTGGATCTTATGGTGTCGCGGCTCAAAGAACAGATATCGGTGACCGTCTGTTGCAGCTATGCTCAGTTAACCGCCTGTTTCTTGCAAATACTAACTTTAAGCATAAGGAAAAACATCTTTTAACTTGGAGACCTCCTAATTCGTCCCAACGCTGGACCCAAATAGATCACATCGCAATCAGGCACCAATGGAAGACCGTCGCTCATTCTAGAGCACATGCTTAGACTCAGGTCATGCTCTAGTGCGAGCGCGTATTTGTCTACGTCTTACTGGACGTAGGAAAGATGGTACAAGGAAACCCCTTAGGGTCCTACTTAATGATAGTCAAGCTGAGTATATTTCAGGAACAACTAGAAAAACAGTTAGGCAGCCATGTAAGTGATGCCCACCCCGAAGAAGCGTGGAATGACATCCGAAAAGCTGTAAAAACACCAGTGATGTCTGCAAGTACGGTAAACCATAAGATTAGGGAGAAACACTGGATCCCAGCAGCGTCTACCGCACTGATAGATGCTCGAAAACGCATTCCATCTGGCTCTTCACATAACGAAGAGTGGAGTCAGCTTAAGCGCAAGCTGACTAGAAGCTTACGCAATGATCGTGAACAGTGGTGGGTAGCGAAAGCAAGAGAGATGGAAAAGGCAGCGGCAATGGGTCACAACAGACAACTGTTCAGACTTGTTAAGGAAACCGGTATTAGAAACCCAACTGTTAGCGCAACAATCTCAGAGAAAGATGGACATATTGTTCATTCTCAATCCAGGAGACTGGATCGATGGGCAGAACACTTTAGGGATCAGTTCAACTGGTCTTCAGCCACACTTCGGTTTCCCACGATCTCCAATCTACCTGAATGGCAAGTTAATGTGAATCCTCCGACTCTTTACGAAGTTGAAAAAGCTATAGGAAATTTGGAGCGTGGGAGAGCAGCAGGCCCAGACAGGTTTACCTCAGAGATTTTTAAGGATGGCGGTCCAGTATTAGCAGCGAGACTGACTGAGGTCCTAGGTAGAATCTGGGAACTGGACGTAATCCCATCTGACTGGTCTGAATCACTGATCGTGCCAGTTTATAAGAAACGAAAAAAGTCTTTTTGTGACAATCACAGAGGAATTAGTTTGACTAATATAGTGTCTAAAATATTAGCTACAATAATACTTCGACGCCTGACCAAAGCTCGTGAAGAGCAGACTAGAGAAAACCAGGCTGGTTTTCGACCTGGACGTGGTTGTATAGACCAGATTTTCACACTACGTCAGGTGCTAGAGCATAGAAACACATTCAGACGTCCCACAATGGTAGTATTTCTCGACCTTAAGGCGGAATTTGACTCTGTTGATCGTGTGGTTCTATGGCAGTTTGTCACTGAAAGCAGTACCAAAGAAGTACATTAACCTTATAAAGGCTCTCTACTCGAACACAACTGGTCGAGTGAGAGCATATGGCAAACTTTCATCAGAACTGAATAACTCAAGTGGTGATCATCAGGGCTGTCCACTCTCTCCATTCTTGTCTAACTTTGTCGTTGACGTGCTTTTAGAGATGATACTTCCCACATCTGAATTTCCAGCGGTTGAACTTCTACCCAAAGATTCATTTGTTGACTTAGAATATGCCGATGACATATGTCTATTTGGTGAAGACGCTGACAAAATGCATAGTCTGCTGACCACTCTAAGCAACAATGCAGGCATGTTCGGCATGCGATTTTCTCCTTCAAAATGCAAAATGTTGCTTCAGGATAGGGTTGAACCGCCTCCCGAAATAGTGATAGGGAGTGAAATAGTTGAGCGTGTCGACCGCCTCACTTATCTCGGATTCTCATCAGCCCTTGTGGTCGGGTGTGTGACGAAATCTCAGCACAGATACAAAAGGCTCGACTAGCTTTTGCCAACTTGCGTCATTTGTGGCGTAGGCGAGATATCCGTCTATCAACGGAAGGACGTGTTTACTAGACAGCAGTTCGTTCCGTCCTACTTTATGGCAGTGAAACATGGCCGGTAAGAGTAGAGGATATTCGTAGGTTACTAGTATTTGATCATAGGTGTCTTCAAAACATTGCTCGTATATCCTGGGACCACCGAGTAAGTAACTCAGTTGTTAGGAAACGGGTACTAGGTAAAAATGACAAATCAATTGATGAAGTAGTGAAACTTCATCAGTTGAAATGGCTGGGATACATGTGTTGCGCATGCCCGACCACCGACTGCCTCGACGTGCGATGTTTTCTGGTGTGGGAGTAGGTTGGAAGAAAGGTAGGTGCGGCCAGACCAAAACATGACACAAAACCATGAAGTCACTAACAAGTGGGCTGATCCATGTTGGTAGATGTAGACTACCTGGTTGGAGACCGCGAGATGATAGCAACCGATGGTTAGAGATCTTGAATGACATGGCTCAAAATCGTTTGCAATGGCGCAGGTGCATCCACTCTGTGTTCTCTCAAACTCTAATCTTCTGAATTCTCCATGTCCTTTATTTTCTTTCTAAATATATTCCACTGGACTATACTCCTTAAATAACATCATCAAACCTTAACGTTTCCTGTCACTACTTATACTTTCACTACTCTGCCACTACGGGATTTGAGACGATAACTGAATTTCTGTGCTAATGTGGTATGGCAACTCGAACTGATGTACGTACGTACGAAGTTCCACGTTGTTTCTGACTGACTGACTACTTAAGGGCGGAGATTCCGTGATACCTACAGATCACAAGCCTTCGATATATGCCTATAACGCCAAAAGTGATCATTATTTCCCTAGAGAAGCGAAACAATTAGATATTTCCCAGTTTTCGACTAATATTCGGTCTATAAAAAGTGAATGGAATGTTGCAGATGTATAATCACGATGTAACGTGGGTGCTATCATTTTGAACAAAGGAACTGAACATACTGAGTTTGGAGGCTACCGATGCTGATCTCTCCGTCTGTAAGCAAAATTTAATTTTAATATTTGGCAATATTCCATTGCCACATCTTGAATTTGTAGTAATGTGTGACACCTCAACTGGAATATACAGGCCATTTTTAGCAATAGCTCAAAGAAAACATGTCTTTGACCATCATCTCACGCCGGTATTTGTGCCACCTTGAATTTGATTTCAGAAAGATTTGTATACACAAAAATGGAGACCCATGTTTTTTTTTAAAATAGATGACTTAAAACTATTTGGAATATCAACGGAGTACGGTTTGCAAACATACAATTACTAAAAACGCCGAATTCGACCGACTGGAAGAGTTTTCAACATGTAAATATTGATTTGGTCGACGCGTTAGCCTCACCCGATGGTTTTATGTTTTCACAGTTGATCATTTTACCTGGCGTTCAATCGTATATTCTGTAAACCACATCGCCGAAAACATTGATATCGTATTCCTAGACAGACGGGTCTCTAATTTCGGCAAACCTTCTACAATTACTTCTGACAGAAGTCTTCAGTTTCAATCGGGTTCCCAATACATCAGTAAGACAACATACCAACCAGCAACAAACTAACCGGTAAGGCGATTCTAAAGACAATTTAAAAGTTTTATGATGGCGCAACTTAATGTAACTAGATGGAGCAAATACCTAACCTTCATTTCACTGAACATTCGCACTACAATCAAAGAAAAGATAAGTATATTTTGTGTCTACAAAAATTATTAAATACGCATACCATCAAGAGACACAATGATGGTTAAATATGAAGTTCCCCTCAACTAACCCCTATTTTGGGGATATCCTCTGAAGTAAATTTCAGGGTATTTGTGCCGTTTCCCCAAAATTTTCTATAAAGGCTCCCTCAAAATAGGGAGACTGGGATCTATGTTCCAAAGTATATTTCGAAACAACACCATTTAAGTCATGAGAATGAAGGAGTCTGTAATAGTAACGATAAGCAGGATAATATGAAATTAACGAGAAAATAGGCTTTAGCTAACACACCTGGCGAATGATGTGGAGATAATTTTTCAGCAGAATTAGTGTGATTAACTAGGAATTAACAGAGAGAAGCGAGAAGAATGATGTAATGGCTGAACGTAGGAAGAATAGCAAAATACCTATCTACGTTGTGAAACAAGTTTTTGTGACCCTCCACAAGGCACCGTAGGCACGACCTTTGGACGTAGAACCAAATACTGCGACTATCTGAAGGTCGATAATTTCTTCATTTAAAAGAGATTATTTCTGAAAAACACTACTTGTACTCTGATATGCGCTACTGAATTCGAGAAAAGATTTCTGATGAAAACTGTCGAGGAATGTTTTTTATGGGTCGTACCCATATTATGATCGCAGAAAATGTCATCGGGTGGTTCATAACTAGCAAATCTAACAGTAGACTTACAAAAGGGGTTTTCTGTGCTCTTTCCTCGGGTGCAACTTAAAACTTTATATAAACTGTTTTTGTCTTTTGTTCTGTGTCTACTGTTACATGAGGATTGAAGACATTCGGCTGATTATGCTCGATATTTTTAATGTGTTTGTTTTACTCGACATCCGGACTTGTTTGTTTATATATTTAACTTTGGACATTTTGGGTTTCCTTTGTCTTTCCTTTGGTATTTGGAATTTTTTGCTCCGGGAACCTAAAAGATTGAAGGTTTGTCTTGTAATTGTAATAGTTATGAATAGAACTTGTAGTGGCATTGGGCCCTAACACGAGACAATATGGAAAATAGACATTCAACATTTGACGTTGGGAAATACTCAATAATAGAGAAAGGCGGGAACAATGAATAGGAATTAATCCGAGTTCGTCGTATGGCATGGCTTGGTCATGCAGGCGTGGTCCCTGCTAAATGTTACGTTATATCTTTTATTCATATTAAATATATTGTTCCATCTCTAGCCTAAGATTGTTCTATATCATGTATTGGTAATCGCTACGACGCAGTGAGTTGGTGTAGATGATGATGTGACTTCCACGTAAGATCTTATAGATTAGGCAGTTACACCATGACAAATCTACAAGTTTATGATTAGTTCTATTATTAGAGCAGTGGTAATATCATAGTAGACCGTAATTCTACAAACTCACTTGTGGTTATTATTTCAAATGGGGCATACAAGTAGCATTCATTTCATAGTAGTTATTATCATGTTGTTATTTTATATACTATTTTGTTGTGAGTGCGATTTGTTACCGTATTGCTCTACTCATAAACAGACACTTCGGTGCGCAGTGTTGATATTTTTTTGTACGCCATTTGTGATTGCACGTATAAATATATCTTCAGTAAGCTCTTTTACTGAGGTCAACCACAGTATCAGACTGTAAATGACATGATATAAGTGTCAAACCTCGAGAATGTAATGTGCATCATGATAAACCGAGTATCAGGTATAAATAATGCTATCATAATAGACCTGTAGAATTAATGGGTCTAGATGATATTAGGAGTGCTCTAATAATAGAACTAATCCTAAAATTGTAGATTTGTCACGGTGTAACTGCCTAATCTATAAGACCTTACGTGGAAGTCACATTATTATCTACACCACCTCATCGCATCGTAACAATTACCAATACATGATGGAGAACAAGTTTAGGCTAGAGATAGAACGATATATTTAATATGGATAAAAGATATGAGGTAACATTTAACATGGGCCGCGCCTGCATGGTCGAGCCATACCATCCGATCAACTAGAATTCATTCAATTCATTGTTCCTCCCCTATCCACCGTTGGGTTTTTCTCCGCGTTAAATGGTGAATATTTATTTCCTATATTGTCTCGTGTTAGCGCCAACGTCACTACAGACCCACGAAACTGGGGAAACAGTATGCGTACGGATTCTGATAAGGCTAAAAGCGGACAAAAAGAAAACAATTTACGAGAGGTTTCGAAAAATGTGGGTCTATAGATATTTTCCCAAAACCCTGTACCAGAGCATAAAAGGCCATACCAGCACCTAATCTGCTTGTTGTGGAAGGTTTGGCTGAGAAACAAAACGAAGTCAGTGCAATTGACAAAAACAATTTCAAATGTTTTGTTGAACAGCATTGCTATTTCTTCGTCCTTTTTTCCTGTCTTTGATCCCGACTTTTGCTGAAATCTCTTGTGGCCAATTTTAATATTCGTAAATTTTCTTTGTCCAGATCCTTATTATTTGACCCAGG